AATCAAAAAGTTATATATGAATTCAAACCTAGATGGTGTGATACTTGTAAAGCTATTGGCCACTCAACAGTGCAATGCAGAAAGAAGAATGGTAAAATGAGGTGGATGCCTATTAATAGAAATGCTAATAGAAGTGCTGATGCAAATGCTGGAGTAACTACTCACAAATCTGTTACAAATGTTGATCCCAATATTGGTGCTATCCCTGATGTTTCCAGTATTGAAGTGAATTCTGAGGCTAATTCTAAAGAGCATGCTGATAATATTTCTGTGCCTATTATTGCTCCGCATATTCACCAAGATCCTATTATTAAGGAAGGCTCTGGGATTCCTGGGGGTTATGGTGCACGTGCACAAACAGTTAAACCTGGAATTACAAGTGCTCTCTCATCTCCTGTTGTTAATGTAACAGGCTTCTCCAGTGTTGTCAAAGGTAAATCTATAAGAAAATCTGGTGGAGTAACAAATGATAAGGGAACATCAAAATTAGTGGAGGCTATACCATTTTTCTAGGCATCACAATTTTCCCCCTTAGATCATCAAGAGCATGATTTGGACCCCTCTAGTATAGATAGAGGTGGATCAAAGTTTTAATGCACTTGGCTATTTGGAATGTTAGAGGATTCAATAAATCCTCTAAGCACATGATGGTAAAGCAATTCATTTTTCAGTATAAGCTCCCTTTTATAGCTCTTTTAGAAACTAAAATAGCTGGTAATAAACTGCATGCTATTGCAAAAAAAGTGGCTAAAGACTGGTCGTGGATTTCAAATTGTCATCAGGCCAATAATGCTAGAATATGGATTCTTTGGGATAGTGATCTTTTATCATTACAACTGCTTAGTTCCTCAAAGCAATTCGTGACTTGTGCTGTTAAGTCAAAGGATTGCAGATTATCTTGCACTATTACTATTGTATATGCTCTCAATGACAATTCTGGTAGGAAGGCTCTTTGGCATGACATTCTGGCTTTCAAAAATAATGTGTCTGATACTTGGATTATAGGAGGGGATTTCAACACTATTATCAATAATAGTGAGAAAATAGGTGGTGTTCCAGTATCTGTTTCTGACACAGAAGATTTCCTGGACTTCATTTCTTCTAGTCAACTTGTTCATCTGAAGACTGCTGGGTGTTTCTATACCTGGTGCAATAGACAAGATCCTGACTCTAGAATATGGTGCGGACTTGATAGAGTCCTAGTTAATGAAGACTGGATTCGAAATTATACCTCAAGCCAAGTTGAATTCTTGACTCCAAATTGCTCAGATAATTCTCTAGGATTAATTACTATTGGAAATGAGGATTATATAGGGAAAAGGCCTTTCAAGTTCTTCAAGATGTGGACAACTCACCCAGATTTTCTCTCTGCAGTGGCTTCTAGCTGGGATAAAATTGTTATGGGCTACAATATGTACAAATTCCATACCAAACTCAAAAATCTCAAGCCTGTTCTAAAGGATTTAAATAAGAGAAATTTCATGAATATCAGTGAGCAAGTTTTGAGGGCTAAAAATGAGCTTGAGGAAGTTCAAAAGCAACTGAACATTGATCCTTTTAATGCTATGCTGATTTCAAAGGAGAAATATAGTTTAAATAAGTATGTGAGACTGTTAGATCATGAAGCTTCTTTTTACAGACAAAAGGCTAATATCAAATGGGGGAAATATGGGGACAAATGTACTCAATTTTTTCACTCTGTTATGAAAACTAATCGTCATCATAATAGAGTGTTATCTCTCTATTTGGATAATGGACAAAGAATAACTGATATGACTGATATTACTACAAAGTTCATTGCGTATTATGAACAGCTTCTGGGCACTTCAGTTACTGTCATCCCTCCTGATCCTGAAGTCATTGCAAATGGTCCTTTACTTTCTGATACTCAAAGAAATGAATTGGGTCTTCCTATAACAAGAGATGAGATTAAAGCTGCTGTCTTCTCAATGTCTGATGACAGAGCCCCAGGACCTGATGGTTTCAGTGCCTCTTTTTACAAAACAGCATGGAGCATTATCAATGAAGATCTTTATCTTGCGATTCAGGAATTTTTTTGCTCTGGGAAACTCCTTGGTGCTATAAATTCTACCTCAATAACTTTGATTCCCAAGGTACTTAATCCCCAAACTCCATCTGATTATCGACCAATTTCTTGTTGCAACTGTGTATATAAGATCATTACTAAAATCATTGCTGCCAGAATTCAGAGAGTTATGGGTTATCTTATTAGCATGTCCAAAGTGCTTTTGTTAAAGGTAGAATTATTTCAAATAATATCCTTCTTGCTCATGAGCTCATCAAACATTATGGAAGGAAGCAAACTTCCCCCAGAGCTGTCCTTAATATTGACCTACGAAAGGCTTTTGATACTATAAATTGGGATTTCATTGAAGCTATGCTGATAGGCCTGGGCTTTCCAAACATTATGGTGAAATGGATAATGGTATGCATTACTACTCCTAAGTTTTCCCTATCCCTTAATGGCTCTCTTCACGGCTACTTCCAAGGGGCCAGGGGATTGAGGCAAGGGGATCCTCTTTCCCCATACTTATTTGTTCTCGGCATGAAATACTTGTCTAGAAAGTTGAATACTCTCAAGCATGATAGGTTGTTCAAATTTCATCCAAAATGCTCAAGATTAAACATCACCCATTTATTCTTTGCTGATGATCTTCTTCTCTTTGGTAGAGCTGATATGAACTCCATTGTCAAACTTCATAGCTGTATGAATGAGTTCAGTAAAGTCTCTGGTCTGGATATCAATCCAGATAAATGCTTAGTATATCTAAGTGGTATTGATGACAACCTAAAGCTCCAAATATGTTCATTTCTGAATTTCTCTGAAGGTTGCCTACCGGTTAGGTATCTTGGTATGCCTCTTATATCTAAGAGACTCTCTTGGATGGACTGTTCCCCTCTAATCAGCAAAATCTCTGAAAAATTCCAGCATTGGCAAAATAAAAAGGCCCTATCTTATGCCGGAAGGTTACAATTGATCAAGTCTGTCATTTTGGGGGTGCATATCTACTGGACAAATAACTATATTTTGCCTAGTAAAGTTCTCAACAAAATTGACAGATTATGTTCTGAATTTTTATGGAACCACAAAATCCCTCTAGTTTCATGGTCAACTATCTGTCAAGAGAGAAAGTATGGAGGATTGGGTGTCTTTTCAGCAAGAATCTGGAATCAAGCTGCAGCTCTAAAACTTTTGTGGATGATTCATATCAAAAAGGACCTTTTGTGGATAAAATGGGTGCATGGGAATTATTTACTAAATGCAGATATCTGGAGTGTGCAGGTTAAATCTAATAGCTTCTGGATGTGGAAGCAGCTTCTAAAAACCAGAGATATTTTGATTGCTAAACTTGGCAACATAAACAACCTGATTGCTATCATTGGCAAGTCATGTGTAGGTGATATAATTCAGGTTTCTTCTGTGTACAGTTTTTTGGTGCAACCTGCACAGCAAGTACACTGGGCTAATACAGTTTGGAATAATATTCATTATCCCAAACATTCTTTCATCCTATGGTTAGCTATTCAATCAAGGTTGATTACTCAAGATAGGCTATGTCGGATGGGCATTCTTAATGCAAATCAATGTGTACTGTGTACAAATTTTCAGGAAACCTGTCACCATCTATTCTTTGAATGCCAATATTCATCCACTGTCTGGAATATGGTGATGGATTGGATGAAGTTCAGCTGGAAATCATGCATATGGGATAGTATCATTCACTGGTTCACCCTCAGGCTTAATAAGAGGGGATTTGTGGAAAATTTAAAGAGACTGGCCTTTGGAATAACAGTTATATGCTCTTTGTGTATGCACTATGAGTGCTGAAGTTCTCAGCTATGGCTGATGGTGATATTGTACAAAAATTCTCACTTGGAAAATGAATAAAATTTTTCATTGACAAAAAAAAAAACTATCATCTCAATACTTTATGATAAAGAGAGAGAAAACAAAAATAATAAAATAATGCTCATCATATTTTAATAAAAAAAGAAAGAGAGAGAGAAGGGTATTATGGTCTTCACATATTTTAATGTCTTGGGTTTTGTGTTTTGGGGGTTCAGAGAACATAATCTTTATTTTTGGGGGTAAAACACCCGTTGACAAAGTCTTGGGGGGTGGGAAGCACGTTTCCTTAGCTTTTGGGGGCTGGAAGCATTTTTCCCTAATTTAAAGTGGACATGGAAGAGGTTTCTCATCATGGTCATCTAGTCCATTTAGATACGCGTGAATTCACGTGCAAAGCTAGAGCTTACAGTATCATCTTGGGGAGGTTATCTGAAAAAATTAGGGGGGATCGACATTTCTAAAGTTTCGGGCCGGGTGTAGCTGAAAAATAACCAAACATGAGGAGGGTTTCGTGAAATTTACCCTAATATCAGGTCAGATCTGCTTTCTGAAATTTACCCTATAATATCAACTCAAATCTCGGCTAATTAGCACTTACATGCCCCGTAGTTTCACCTACTTTGTGCGTATATACCCTCGCCTGTTTTTTGTTCCACATGTATACCCTAGAATTTCTAAAGTTGTTGGCTAATACATTCTTTTATGACATCCTGAGAGTATTTCTGGAGTATTCCCGTGTGAGTGTGCCATGGTTGTTTGTGCGCCTTTTTAACCCTGAAATTTGTTGAATTTTGATTTCCTATCCCTATTTTATGTTTGCCCTCGTATCATCCAATTCTAACACCAGGAAAAAAAAAAACACCCCCAAATTAACAAACAACAACAGCAACAACACCCGACCACCCAAAAATAAAAAATAAAAGTCAAGCTCTTCATCCAGTATTGCTGTTGTTGATGAGGTCACAAGTACAAGATAACCCGATCAATATTTGAGAAGTTACAAAAAGCGGTATATATTCGCAAATAACTAAGAGGTGAACGTATAGGGTATTTAAGTGCAATACTTAGACTCGTGATCTAAGAAAAGAATCCACTTTCTTCGCAAATATATATAAGCCTGAATTCTGACCTGAAAGAAGCCCCATTCGCGACAAGCGAGGTCAAGCTTAGCGCGCTCCTCTTCACAAACTTCAGGATTCATCAGCAGCTCTAAATCGATGATGGGAAGCGTGCGGCTCTCATCACCGTCGACAACCGGATCGGACTCCGCTTCAGGCCTGACATATCGATC